TGTGTGTGTGTAGTTGAACATTGACCAGTGAAGCTATGGTGTGAGCTTTTAGTTAAGATGGAACAAAAGAAAACTTTCAGGGATTTGACACGTAAGACCAGTAAGGAATTAATTTCAGAAAAAAGGAGCAAGTAACACTCTCACGCATAGCTAACATGGGTCTTGCAATAACAAATTGTTTAGGTGAATTTTAAGAGAAAAACTGGCGCATGCATAAATATGTAGAAGAGATACGAGTGATAATAACTTAGAGCAAATATTTTTGTAAATAACTGTTTTCTGAAAGTGGTAGGCTAGATTGTGATACATTAGGTCGAATAAAAGCGCCTTAAACTGCTGTAACGCCTGAAGACACTTTGCTGAAATGAAAAAAATAGTGAGGACAATTGTTACAATAAGGTAACTTGCAACAGGGGAAAACCACAAAAGGCAACAGGATCAGCAGCAAAAACATAACGAAGCAGAGACTTTAAATAAGAGCTTATTGACCACTGAGCCAGCACAAAATGAGTGCAAGTTATAAGGAGAATATAGATATGGAGCGCGGAGGGACGTCTCTCAGAAACACTCGGTCGAGGTCAATGGTCCGTAAAATCTCCGACTTGGATTTTTTTTCTTTCTGTTTTCAACCTGTGCTCCCACTACAGCGTCACTCTCTGGTATGAACTGCAATGGATCCCTTGGGCCCATTATGAGAGAGTCATACCGGGGGAAGTCTAGTGAACCAAAGCCTCCTCATCCCCCAGTCAAGAACTGAAGACACGTAAATATTTGATGAAGGGGTCTCCGAGAGAGAGATACTACTTGCATGGGGCGATTGTATGGAATCAGTTATGCCTCGAGATTCCAGCTGCTCTGATAATAGTCACTGATTCTCCGCCCAATGCGAGGATTAGAAAAGTAATGTCAGTCTTCAGGGTTACTAGACTTTAACTTCCTGTGGAATGAAGATGGATACTGTTATTCTGGTACTCTGAGGTATTCATAGAAATGTCGAGGAAATCATGGAAATCTTTTCAAATGACCTATTCGTCCTAGAGCTTACAAGAAACGTGGTGTATTTAGAGTATGATTCCGTAGTCTAACTTTGCGTTTGTGATTCGGGAAAAGGTAGCACATAAATACGATAACAGTAGGGAAATGAGATAGATGCAGAGAATTGACAGAGGGGAATAAAAAAAAAGAGAGACTCTACAGTGGCGCCCTGAAACCACCCACCATGATAGCTAAGACACTGCAAGGCGGCAAATCAATACCTTCCCAAAACAGTCTCCGTCCAGTCAATCACGTACCTGACGTATCTGTGCGGAGGACCCCGTATTTGGAGCTGACTTTGTCCGTTTAATTACTACCAGGGGAGAATATGTTAGAGAAAATGTGTAAAAGAGAGATTCAAGGGACGGCTTTTGTCCAAGATTTGACAGGCGTTCTTAGAATCTTATTGGCGTATGTATGTTCTGATTTCCTCCAGTATCTTTTTCTTCAGAGCTAAGTCAAAAGTATGCCTTCCTCCTACTGCTTTACGGATTTTCGTATTTTCAAATTAAAAAGGTTGTACGTTGTGTGTGTGTGTGTGTGTGTGTGTGTGTGT